CCAGTCTGACACTTCTTCACCTGACCACAACCCACGCCTCCCTCAACAAAAATATAAAAAAATGAGGTATGAAAAGCTGTTTTGATAATGCAATTTCAGCAACATAAAATAGTAAACTCCAAAAAAATTCCACATAGAAAACATTATGGCCAAAGCAATGAGCTGACATTAGAAATTGGCAGCATTGCACATTTCCTCTTTCTCTGTCTCTCTCACACACACACATACACAGACACACACACACACTTACACTCAAAACATATCTAAAAAAAGATCCACAAAGCTGGAAAGTTCAAACACTACTGTTATTACTATTATGCACACCACATGAAATTGTCAAAGGAAAACAACAAACTGACAAAAGACTGCGCTGGCTAAAATCAGCGTTGGAGATGGACACCGAGGAAAGAAAGAGAACTAGGGGAATGGCAGTTCTGGGAATAATATGTGGACCGTCTGGGAAACAGCCCAAACACAACTATTGACAAATGTCAACACTTGTCAGCCCACACCACCACACAGCCAACATATATTACCGACTGACAAAAAACTAATGTGACTGACAATTCAGTATCTGCTGGACAGTTGACAAATCGCTACCTTAGAATTACAAAGTTGTATCTGACATTTTCGGCTGTTTTGAGTTACTAAGACCATGAGGTCAGAAACCAAATGTTCTATCTGCTCTATCAAAATCGTAAGAGTATTCTAAGCGGTTATCAAGATATTCAAAGAATTACATTCGAAAAAGCTTGACATGTTGTGAACCTCACAATTTAGAACGTCAATTTCTCTAAACTAGATACTAAGCTGATAAAACTTTGTAATTCTGAGATAGCAAAGTGTAACTGACAATCTGTACCTGCTGGACAGCCAGACCAACATGCCAGTCACACGATCAGCCAAACATAATGAACAGGACATACAACCCAGGAGAAACTAAACATTGGAATTCAACTCACAGCATGATCCCTGATACTACTGGCAGCACTAATGACAGGCTGGGGATCTGTACCCAAAGCACCCTGACCAAGCTTCCATCCCCCGGACAAAGCAGCCGTTGCTATACGATCAGGTGTCAGCAAATATTTGCTCCAGAAATATTACAAAGTGTACAGCACCTCTCTCAGTGTGACCAACGAAAGTATTGAAGAAGACACACACATTTACAATCTCGTGGTTGTAGAGCTGCACGCACCCACGAACACACATACACGAAGAGTCCGATACACGCATATACTAGCAGGATCCCATGACAGCACATACTATACAGACAAGATACTAATAAACAGCGCTAGCTTTTCGTTTGTGTACTGCGTCTTGAGTATATAGAGAAATGGCAGTGGCAGTTACAGCGACTGTGCAGAGGGGGAGCAGAAATTGTGATGAGAGGAACAAATGCCCATCCCGTTTACTTTGTTTACACTGTTAACACA